TTTGAGAGTATAGTTAATCACTCATGGAAATTATACAGAGGACCTAACCTAGCAATGGAAATATTGGTGTTAGAGTTAAAGCTAATCTATAGTAAATTTAGTACCAAGCTTTGAATAAATCATCTTAGTAAGATGTAACTGAAAGAATCTTTACTAACTTGCCTTTGTATGATGTAATTGAAGAATCTTGAGCTCTACGAATATGGAGGGTGTGTACCTTTTGTTTACTCATATATGGTGCTAACGTTGTGGTGCTTGGCTTCTAAAAGTTATTCAAGTAAGCTAATAACTAGGCAAGTAACTAACAGTTTAACAGATAAAATATCTAAGAGAAAGGCCCACAAGGAAGGAGATAAAAGGAGGACGACGGTTTCAGAAATGTGAAAACACATATTCTCTAAGATGCTAATCAGGTTGTATGAGTTGTAGAATGTAGAGTTGTTGGTACTGGTGCTGCTTGCATTATATATTTTTGCCTTGATATCGTTGATTATGGTTCTCGATATGTAGCTTTCTTTCTGTCTGATGCTCGACTATTATTGTTTTGTGCTATGTTATTCACATATCCGCTAATTTTTTGTTTTCTCTTTTCCTGGACTACAGGCAGCTTCTGGAACAAAAGGAGGTTCCAGTGGCTCCCCTGTAATTGACTGGCAAGGTAGAGCAGTTGCCTTGAATGCTGGGAGCAAGACATCTAGTGCTTCGGCGTTTTTCTTACCTTTAGAACGAGTAAGTTGATGTTTCCCAAAATTGGTTTTACTGAAACCTGAAGTGGTATTTTGTTTTTCATGTTCATATTTCTTTACTAGAAAATATCTATTTTCCAAGCGTTGGTTTAGTGATTACATGTCATTAGCTTCATCTGCATTTATGTCTTCAGTTCTTAGTTAACCGGGCTTTTGCTACTACTTTGATACCGTGAAGAAGTTCAGTTATCTTGATGATTCTCTAGCCGGTACTAGTCTGCTAAAATCTTTGTTAAACTACAAATGCAAATTTTAGAGAGACTGAATATATCGGTCAGCATTTTATTTTTGAGTTTGTTGCCAGAAGGGATATTACTACCAACTAGGATTCTACTTCCAGAATTTTGTGAACGATGTTTTCTATATTGTTTCCTGGAATATGAGGTTGATGTTGATAGTAGTCTTGCATAGTGAAACCAAAGGATGTTCAAACTCTCTTGTAATTATGTTATATAAAAGTCCGAGCTTGGATTTGGCACCCAGATTTTGGTCATTTTGTACCTCTGAATGTGTTCCTCGCTCACAGTTGCTATATGCAACCTATATTTTTCTTATGTGATGCAGAAATTTTACTGTACAGATTAGTAAGTTATACAGGTCCCAACTTTTGACATTTTAATATTGGATTGCAAACTATAAAATACGATAATAGTTTGGTTATATGCTCAAAATTTTGTTTAATTATTAGGCCCTGTCAATTAATAAGAGTTACATTGATTTGGATATCAGGTTGTGAGGGCCCTAAGTTACTTGCAGAAAGGTAGAGATTCCACCACTAAATTATGGGAGGCAGTCGCCATTCCCCGTGGTACGCTTCAGGTTTGTTGGTTCCTTAGAGGGTCATATCTTGCTCCTTCACTTATATCTTCTTTCATACGGCATGTTATTTGCTGGTCTGAAGTGCCTCTTTTATTAGTTTTAAAAACTATATGCTTGGCTATAGTATCTTGTAAGAGCTTTTTTAATCTGCATGTGGAAACTGCATCAACCTTGTAAGAATTGATTCAACTCTTACTTCACCTGCTTATTTTCTGTTGGAAGAGGAACTATTCATAAAATTCAGCTATGAGATGATGATGTATACCAAAGTTGACGGGTGAACCAACTTTCAGGATTGTAAATTGTATATTTTGTTGAGGGATCAGAATAATTTGGAACACAAAGAATTATAAGAAAATTCTATCGTTTGCAGTATATCATTAATTAAAGAGAAAGAAAATCCTGTCTGACCTTATCCATTATAAAAATGTAGAAGTGTCCAGCTTCAGGATAGAGTAAGTATCTTCGCGAGGGTGGAGTGTGTAGATGGATCAGAAAAATTTGGAACTTAAGGAACCAGAACAAAGTTTTATTATTGTTATCATATTTCATCGATTTCAAGAGAAAAAGAGGCCTATGTGTGACCTTGAACCCCTAGTGTGTTTTAAAATAGATAACAACAGTAAGCAGAAACACGTGTACCAGTAATCTGGGGATTTCTAACCAAAATTTTATCTTTGTTCCCCATAATATATATGTGTACCTATTGCATTCTCGATTGACTTCAATTCATACATACACAATTTAGGCTACCTTTCTCCACAAGGGATTTGATGAGACACGTCGGCTTGGCCTCAGAAGTGAAACTGAAGAGGTGTTGTAATTTCTTCATTCTTAGTATTACTCTGATGAATGTTTATTCAGCTTTCGCTTATGGTTCTATAGTAGTAGTTTGATTGCTAACCCTTACTTTATTCATTTGGTTCTACGATTCAGTTAGTCCGCCATGCTTCTCCCCTTGGAGAAACTGGAATGCTCGTTATTGATTCAGTGGTGAGTATATATTTCCTACTTACCATTTGTTGAGTTGTTTTTTTTAAGTGTAATGACTGTCAGAAAATAACGTTCCTTTCTGTTTTGCTTTCTTATGACTTCAACTAAACATTTGTGTTGGTTTCAGGTTCCAGGTGGCCCAGCACATAAGCACTTGGAGCCAGGTGACGTCCTTATTCGTTTGAATGGAGAGGTATGATAGACTGCAATACACGTTGGATCCAAATTATTGTTAAGAATTACTGTTGCTACTGTCAAACTGTTGTCAATTACTTGTGTTTTGGGTGAAGTCTTTTAGTAAATCCAGAGTTGTAGTGTTCTGTTAGTAAGTTGGCAGACATGTCCTATTACCTTTGGACCATTGATTACAATGGAAGAAACACCAAAATCATTGTGCAATATTATATGCAGCCATTTTCTAGGTTTTGGAGACATGTATTTTTTTTTTTTTT